TACTAGTCGATGACCTTCGATCGCATCCAACGCGGAGTGTCGACTTCAGTGGCGGAGGCCCGAACTAAGCGGGAATGCAGGGGAAGAATGGCGCCGGGCAAGAGAACTAGCGGGAAGAGGGAAGAGCAAAGCTCGATGATCGTCGTCCGGTCTCCGGCACCCTCGATTCTTCATACCAGTCGACGACCTTGGACCATGTCCGAAGCGGCGTTTCGACTTCCCTGACAGCGGCTCCAATCCGAAACGCCCTGCTGCTTCTTGATCGGAGCTGGAGTCCCGCCGGAAGCTCCTTCTATCGTTCCACTACGATCAACCAAATGTTTTCTCATCTTCACCCAAAACTAAATTAAAAGATAGATGTTGGGACTCGACGGAGAATCTGCAAACTATCACCGCCGGCGAGAGATACGACCGGTTGAGGGAACTATAAGGATTTTTTTTTAACAGTGGGAAGTAGAAGAAGGCAAACGACTTGTTTTAAGGTTGGGTGTTTTAAGAAATTGAAGTTGTATATAATTATAAAGTTTGGGTGTTTTAAGTTTATAATTTGGAAAAAGGTACTATAATATATATGATTGTTAGTTAAGGGATTGATATGAGGAGAATGTAAGATAAAATTTATATGGGACTAAACCGTGAACAACCATTAATGAAGGGATATAATTGCAATTGTATTTATTATTAATAATTACCTTAATTATAATTAAATTAAAAATAATTAATAATTAATTAATAGGTGTGAACGCAGGCGTACACCGTACACCAGGTGTACGCTAGCCTTTGCCATATATATATATATATACTCAAGTGATCCATACAAATAAGCTGTCACAACATCCATCAGACGCAGATCTAGTCCTTCTCGAACTGCTAGACTAATCAAGTATCAAAACATAGTTGCATCCACCACAGGGGAGTATGTCTCATAATCAAGACGTGCTTTATATCTCACGACTTCACCCTTTTCATTTCTTTTCCGCACAAAAACCCATTTGTATCCCATTGGCTTTACGTTTTCTGGTGTAAGGACTACCGGTCCAAAAACCTTTCGCTTTGAAAGCGAGTTTAATTCCGCCTCAATGGCCTCTTTCCACTTTGGCCAATCATTTCTTGACTTGCATTCATCAATAGATCTTGGTTCATGATCCTCATTTTCATTCATTACACTCAACGCTATAGCGTAAGCGAAAACATCGTCTACGATTATTTCACTTCGGTTCCAACATTTTCCATCCAAGACATAATTGATTGAGATCTCTTCATTATCAAAACTTTCAGGTACCTGATGTTCTTCGGGAACTACAATCTTAGTTATGCTTGGGAACTCTTCTTGAGCTTTCATATCCTCGATTTGACCAACTTGATTCATAACCCCCTTTCTTTTTCGAGGATTTTTATCCTTAGAACCTACTGGCCTACCACGCTTCATTCGTGGTTTAGATTCATTTGCAATTTCAGATTGTCCAATAGGGACATCAACTTTCACTGGAGCATTTACAGCTGGTATGTGTGACTTTGTCACTCTCTTCTGGTCAGTAAAAGAATCCGGCAGTTGGTTTGCTAAACCTTGTAAATGAATTATTTTTTGAACTTCCAGTTCACATTGTCTAGTACGAGGATCAAGGTGAGATAATGATAATTCATTCCAACAAATATCTTTTCCCATCTGTTTGTTCTCACCCCCTAATGCTGGAAAAACTGATTCGTCAAAATGACAATCAGCAAAACGAGCAGTGAATAAATCTCCCGTCAAGGGTTCTAAGTATTTTATGATTGACTGGAACTCATATCTAACATAAATTCCCAACCTCCTTTGAGGACCCATCTTAACATGTTGTGGTAGAGCAATAGGGATGTAGACAGCACACCCAAATATTTTTAGATGAGAAATATTAGGTTCCTGACCAAAAAGCATTTGCAAGGGGGAAATTTCATGATAACTTGTTGGCCTTATGCGAATTAATGTTGCCGCATGCAATATAGCATGTCCCCAACAAGAAATTGGCAAGCTTGTTTTCATAAGAAATGGTCTTGCAATAAGTTGCAAACGCTTAATAAATGATTCTGCAAGTCCATTTTGTGTATGAATAAGTGCTACAGGATGTTCAACATCAATCCTAATGGACATACAATAGTCATTGAAAGTTTGTGAAGTAAATTCACCTGCATTATCTAGACGTATTTTCTTGATTGGAAAATCAGGAAAAATGTGCTCGTAGTCGTATCAATTGGGCAAGTAATCTAGCAAACGCCAGGTTGCGAGTTGATAGTAAGCACACATGTGACCATCTAGTTGATGCATCAACTAAAATCATAAAATATAAAAATGGTCCACATGGTGGGTGAATTGGCCTGCATATATCACCCTACATATGTTCTAAAAATGTGAGAGATTCACTCCTTACTTTCACAGGGGATGGCCGTATAATCAACTTGCCACGAGAACATGCAACACATGGTACATCTTTAAACTGATAAATTTTGTGACCTTTCAATGGATGTCCACATGTATTGGCAATGATTTTTAGCATCATAATCAATCCTGGATGGCCTAACCGGTCATGCCAAACTATAAAATTATCAAGATTTGTAAACTTCTGGTTTACCACTGCATGTGTTTCAATTGTACTAATAAACGTGTAGTACAACTCAGAAGAAATAGCAGGCAATTTCTCCAATATGTATTTCTTATCGGAGACCATATTTGTTATCATAATATACACTTTATTCTCTTCTTCCTTTGTCTCAATATGATATCCATTTCGGCGAATATCTTTGTAACTCAATAAATTTGTTTGACACTTTGAAGAGTATAAGGCTTCATTGATATATAACTTGGTTTCTTTTGGTAACAATACACTAGCTCTTCCGGAGCCTTCAATTAAATTTGTACTTCCAGATATAGTACTAACATTTGCTTCTCGCATTTCAAGATGAGAAAAATATTTCTTATCCTTCAAGATTGTATGTGTCAATGCACTATCAATAACACACACATCATGGTTTTTTATCTTGGTGCCAAGCATGGGAATATTCATTCTTCACAAAAGATAGAAAGTAAATCAATATAAGAAAATATCTTCAAATAACCTTTTCCACCACATCGGTAACACACATTTTCGACGTGTTTGTTACCATGAACACTTTGTTCCTTGCTTTTTCTACCATCATTTTTTCCACTTCTAGGGAAAAATGAGCTTTTGGAACTTTCACCACGGCCAAGATCTCGGCCACAGCCACGGCCTCGAGCATGACCACATCCTCGTCCATGTCCACGTCCATGTATTTGCCCATAAGGATATTTGGTGAACGCCGCCGCATTCGCTTCTGGAAATGGGGCGGCACCAGTAGGACGAGATTTGTGATTTTTCATTAGGAGCTCATTATTTTGTTTAGCAACAAGGAGACAAGAAATCAGCTCAGAGTATTTCTTGAAACCTTTCTCACGGTATTGCTGCTGCAGGAGCACATTGGATGCATGAAAAGTGGAGAATGTTTTTTCCAACATATCTTCATCAGTAATATTTTCTCCACATAACAGTAGTTGTGAGCAGTGGCGGATACATGGACCATTAGGGGTGTCCCGGGATACCCCTAAAATTTGGGATAACGATTATCTAACCCCAAATAATAGTTTCGCATGGATAAAAAAATTATAATCGGTAATCCGGGACACCCTTAAATTTTGAAAAAAACGATTATCCTAATCTCGGTAGTAATTTGTGTATGATTAAAAATATAAAAGTGGTACTTTGTATTATTCAAACCTAGGACACTACTATTATTAAACATATTCTCTAGGTTTTAACTCGTTTCTAGTTCTATTTTAAACACTATAAAATAGTAAAAACATTATTCCTTATCCCCAATTATTTTCAAAACCTAACAATTAAACTAATTACGGGTTATCCTTAATTTGAATTGATTTCATGGTTACACGACAATAGTTAAAAGAGTCTTTCTACTTTGAGTTACATCAAGAACAAGGTTAGCAATCGAATATGCGATCAGTTCGTGCATTACTGTCTAGTATGATATACAGATTTGTTGAGCAATGTAGATATTGATTCTATTTTATATTCTATTTTTCAAAATATGAAAATACGTCCGGACCTTTTGTTAAAATATGTACTAGTCGGATATTTTCTGATTTATGAATTATTTAATTACTTTTTAATTTAATTTAATTTTTGGAAGAGGACACCCCTATAAAAAAATCATGGATCCGCCACTGGTTGTGAGGTTATTTTGAATAGCTCCAAATTATAATCATTCACAGATTTAAAATCTTGTAACCTCAAATGCATCCAATCATAACGAGTCTTAGGAAGAATCACAGTTTTTTGGTGGTCATACCGCTCCTTCAAATTAGTCCACAAAATAAGTGGATCTTTGACCGTAAGATACTCATTCTTTAATCGTGTCTCCAAGACCGTTGGCAGCTAAATGAATTTCAGCATCTAGCACCCATGATAGGTAATTCTTTCCAGTGACATCAAGAGCCACAAACTCAAGCTTTGAAAGATTCGACATACTTGAGCAGAACAATTATGGATTTAACCTTTTCAAAAGGAAGAGTCTCGTGTTGATAACATATTATAAAACTAATGGAAAATGTAAACAATTACAAGAGAAGATTAGAGAGGGAAAGACACAAGAGAAGTGAGGGGAATAGTTCTTCTTAGTCATACTTCATTTGTGATACAATATTGTGCTCTATTTATAGACATCCTTTGGTAACCACTACATCCTTACATCAATGCATATGAAGTAGAGATAATAATATAGGAATGGGAGTTACATGTAACTCCCAAGTGAGCATGTAATGTGATAGGCCATTGATCATCCATATATAAATATTTACATAATAAAAACTTGATTTTAGAGCTTACAACTTCCAATCGAAGTCCATATTGTTGTTTTATTGCAGGATACGACTTATCTCTAGAAAATTCCAAAGAAATATACTTTCTATGACTATAAATATATCTTATTGAGCTTCAAATCACACAACTTTATAAAGGGTTGCTCTGCCTCCACACCCCAGAATTCGTCCTGGAACCTCTAGAGGTACAAAAATGGAACCTTATTGACGCCCCATAAGCCAAAACTGACAGAAGACGACCCTTTTCCAGAAGTTAGATTTTTTATTATTATTATTTTTTTAATTCCTGTTCAATGTCTGTGTTTTCCTTCCAATATGAGAATTCCTATTCAATGTCTGTGTTTTCCTTCGAGTATGAGTGGCTAGAACCTTGTGGATCCTAGATGTTGCAATGATTTTGTATGATGCTTGAATTGGTAATTCACTGCTAGGGAGAAATTCACAGAATATATATTCCCCATCCGCAAATGCCCCTTAACCCTTCTTTAGAAAGAGAAATCTAACCAGAGAATTACCCTTGGATCATATGTAAGCAGAGAAATCTACAGAAGAATGGTATAACCAAACCAAAACACCTTGGATTTGACAGTAAACTTGTGGATGTAATATATGCAGTTCAAGAAATACAGAGACCTGCCATCGTACAAAAGATTTACATGAAGTTACTGACTTCAGAAATCGATTTCTGATATGTGCAACTAGTGTAATTAGAATATTGCGTAGATGAAGATCCAAAATCAAGAAAGAGATTTCATCAGGCAAGTGAATCATCCATATTGTCATTAGTTCCCCCACCAGCAACTATGTTAGTAATCACTCCATCACTGGGATTCCCCGCAATATTTCCAAACCTCTTCTTAGCCATCCTAGCCCTGTGACACCACATCTCAAATACCTCCCTCAAATCTGGATACCGAACGTTTGCATCCGATAGCCACTCCATGATGATCCCCGCTTGATCCCCTGATGGCAGGCCTAGAATGATCGAGACAAAAGAAGCTTCCAACGACTGCCACAAATCCCCATCCAATTTCACCTTCTGATTCTCGCTGCTGCTCGCCTTATCAATCACGGGTCTCATTTTCCTTACAAATGGAAGCCATTGCTTCACATTCTGAAGCCTTCTCTGAGTAGGCAGAATGACAGTGCCATATGAAATTGCTTCCAGAACTTTTGCAGACGCCTCAATCGCCTTCAAGCTTGCTTCTGTAGTAACCCCATCTTCCGAACTCATCAACCGCTCAAAGATCTGCAGGACTTTCTCTGACCCATCCACCCAATGGCTGATAAATTCTGGCAACATATCCAGCTTGTTTAAGATCAAGAAAGCCCAACTTAAATCAGAAAGATGTGACTCAAACAATTTCATCTCATTCCCCTCAGAAATTGACTGCAAGGGCATCTGAAGCAACGAATTCAATCTGTCATCAAATTTGTAAAACAACCTTTTCATGGAATCTCTTAACAAGGACAAAATATCATCACCAGGAGTCAAAAGAGGCTCATCATCATCTTCCTCTGTCAGCAAATACTCGATCTGATCCTGTGCAGAAGCCTTGATATGATTTGAGTCCAGATGAGGTGATGAGGTGGCGAATTGAACAGCAGATACAAAAATCTTCTCAACAATTGATTTATCAACCGGTTTGAGTCGACCAAGAATAGGTTCTGCTAGTGAACCGATTTTCGGGATGATCTTTAAGATCTCGTCCTCCTCAGCTTCCTCCCATGGGACTGCTTCTATGTACTGCACACAAGCAGGAATGAGTTGTGAGCAGCTGAGGTTAACTGCCACCTTTAGAATCCCGAGCACATTGGTTACTCCGTGTGGTATGCACTCTAAGGGGTCGTCTGTAAGTACATATAGGAGACGGAGAAGGTTGACATGGTGATCAATGTCTGAGTCTTGGCAGAAGACGTCGACACAGTTGCGAGAGTCGATGATCTGCAAAGTGGGCCAGGTCTCTGAAAGCCGCTCAGAAAAATACTTGCATTTGTCTGTTAGAACTGAGGAGTGACAGTAAAGCCACTCATCTCTACCACTTTCTGTGCGTAGCCTGACAACGAGATCACTTGTTGATCGGTCACCAATATCGCCTGATCCCTTTAATTAGGCCATGAGAGAGAAAAGACGAGATTTAAGCACATGCCACTACCAATTTTGATTCGAACTTATTGAGGTACTGAAGTCTTCAAAGCATCTAAGGGAAATAACTCGAGGTAAAGCCTAAGAAGAGCTACTGGGAGGAGAAGACTAGCAAGTTGCACGCATTCTTCAATGTTATGCTATACAAATCAAACGACAAGGGACAATGGACAATATTCTAGATGATAGAACTATGTTGTCTCGAATTCATTCAAAGAGCTACCAAAATCTGTAAGGACAATATTACTGACATCCAAATAGTTTGACAAGAATATCCTGTATGCAGTCTTCAGATTAGATTGCATAATTGCAGAGGCCAAGGAAAATCTAGAGAATCAATTTGCATAGAATTATAGAATACGTTGAATGTTAACACAATAAACTAGGTCCCCACTGCTGATACAAAGCCTCGTAAGAGTTCAAGTGTCACTGGTGGACTGGAAAGAACGTGATTTCTTTTCCATTGTCTCTTACAAAGTAGAAATGAAACTCACAATCTTTACAAGGATATAGAACTGAGAACCAGCACCACAGGACCAATAGATTTCGAAGTATGTGCATCCAAGCATATTTTTAAAAAAGAGTTGGAAATCTTACAGAGATCTCCATCAAAATAGTCAATCTAGGAAGTATGTCAGCTGCCCATTAAGGTTCCTGTACAACAGAAAGGGATCCATATGAGCACGAAGTATAATGAATTGGCCACAGCCCACAAGCACCATATTGCAGACAATGGTATGATCATGTCCTAAGAACTATTAGACATACTGGTACCATAGTCACCTACGAAGTTAACAGCCAAAGAGCAGATCACCAAGACCTAAAGCTGACTACATAATCAGCACATTGAAATAGGTCCAAGATCCTTGAACTGACAGGGTTCATAAATTCCCTTCAACTAGCAGCCAAACTTGTACCATCAAATATATAACAGTACAAGGTTGGAAGAACGACATATGCTTACTAAACGCGAACAGCTCTTTTCCTCTAAAAGCTTCCAAGCCCCAAAACTGTTTCCTAAGCACTCTAGCTCCCTAACCCCAACATCCTCCATAAAATGGCAAACAGTTCTCAATTACCAACAATCAAGAAACCATATTTAGTTATAGTTGAACGCAACCCGCACCAATACACAAGGCGCCCAATCACTAGGCAAGTCCAAGATACGAACAAGAAGGCATCTTGATGCTTAAGTCTCCATACCAACATTTGGGATTCCGATGCTCAACATGGCCACGGTGCTTCCGACCCCGTAGCTCGTGAAATCAAAGAGTCGAAAGCAGCAAGAAGAAGTAAGTGGGGAAGGAGCAATTACCCAAGAAATAAAGTGACAACGACGCGAAGCTCCAAGAAGCGTAAGCAAGAGAAGGGGAATTGAATTACTCCTGGCAAGGAGGGTTCACTTCACTGAAAGGAATGCCCGCTCTGTCGAAGAATAGAAACGATGAAACAGAGAGCAGGAAACCCAGTTGCCAAGTTGATCTATCAAGACATGTAGGAACTTGGAGCAACTTCTTTGTCTTCTGTTAATCAACCCCTGGTCCCCTGCTCCAAGATATATAACTTTTTTTCTTTAGGTAAGAACTAAGAACAGATGAGGTCCGGACTTGAGGATCTCTCTTCTTGCTTTCTCGCTCGCGCCGATCATTTTTGTATGTATTTATCTACTGATCTTAATGCAGGCCCAAGCTGACCTCTGTCAAGTGCCAAGCTGGGCCGAACGTTTCATGTTTGTTTCTTCTTTCCAGTAATTCTTAAAGTTTGGGCCTAATTCACGATATTGAGCTGAAGCCCAAACATATTCTCATTCATAGAAGCCCTACCAGTAGGCGGTTAATCAACCAATCCGCAATCCGCTCATGAACGGATTTGCGTCCGACTCGAGAAAAACTCGTTCGACACTCGAATCGTCTTAATTGAGCTGGCTTGCGAACAAGCTCGTTAACTAGACGAGCTGAACTCGAGCCACACCATGTCTAGCTCAAAAGCTCGCGAACAAGCTCATTTAACGGTTTGGCATAAAATATTATTGGAATTCATGGACTTTATGTATTGAAATTGAGATAAATATTGTATTTTTATTTTGTTAGAGACTTTGCTACAAGTTTGAATGTAATTTTGTGCTTAGTTCTAGCTCAATCTTGAGCTAGCATGAACATTTTATGAGTTGAACTCGATTTTGGGCTCGTTAAGCTTATTTGGCGAGCCAAGCTCGAGTCGAGCTGGAGATTTCATTTTCATAATCGAGCCGAGCTCGAACTTGTAAACCCAAATTATGACAAAGTTCGGGTCGGCTCGGATCATTAACAGCCCTACCTACAAGTAATTCAAATACCCATTGAAAATGCCTTTTTAGCGTAATAGAAAAGGTTTAAGGTTGATAAAGGCTTATGTAGTTATCGATTTAATCACTAATTGCATTGCAACAAACGGTTAATAACCGTTAACCGCTAAGGAGTATGCGAGACGTTTAGTGAAAGCTCAAATCCTCTATTGGGTTACCAAGTCAAAAACAGTTAATAAGCGACAGTTAGCAGTGAACCAATTAAACCCGATAAGATTGTAAACCACTCAAAAAAAGAAAGGATTTACACTCAACGAAGGAAAAAATTTCCCCACTGATCCTCGTCTTCTTGGCTCAAACGAAAAACATAGGACAGTCAAAGAGGATGTGACACGAACCACATATCGGTTGTCGTCATGCTAAGGACCCTCTATGATGCCTTTCCCATTGGATTAACGGGAAGATGATCGAGAGAGCAGCAACGCTGGCTCAACTCTCATTTTCTGTTTTACTTGGACAGAGAAGAGATCGAAGAGGTGAAAGGAAATAAAGGCGACTTGATATAACTATACATACCTTATAATTATTATTGAATTTCTTCTAGTCTATGAACAATATGAAAGAGCTACAGTTAAATTTTATAAATTGGTGTCTCCTTTTACATAAATTCCTTTACACCTTTACATAAGAATATATGAATAATTGAATTTCAAATGGCCACTTATATGTATATTTATTTATTTTTATAGTATCGGGTTGATTGTTATGATCAATCTGTTGACTGAAAGGTACATCAATGACCAAACTGGAAAGATGAATGCGTTGACCATGACCTGTCCGTATCCATCCCCCTTTCCATCTCCTAATTGCAACTAGCTTAGCTAGCAAGAGCTCTCGTCGTGAGGAACTAATTATACCCAACATATGCATGTGATACAATTCAAAGCAGGGGAGAAATGGTGAGAACAAGTAATTAATCTTCCAACCATTCCACTTGTTTTTTTTTTTGTTTTTTAAGTGAATAGTGATAAGCTTTGTAGGAGATTTAAAACATAAACAATAAAATCCAAGATAGTGGCATAAATTAATAATTTCAGAGATGTAAACTTGCATTTGATGAAATTTAAAATGCAAGCCACAAAAAGATCAATAATTTATTTATTTATTTACTATGAAATTACTTGGATCCACCACTTACGCACTTACAAATTAATTGCATTAATAATAAAAGTACAATGCAATTAACCTGAGTTGATTTACATAATTATAAGGTGACAATATTGACAATGCATATAATTGCATTGATGAACATGTTGTGAAAAGTGAAAACAACAAGTAATTTTTATCATCTATCTTATCCCTTATCTATAAAGCAATTTATCTATGTTGTTATTCTTGGTTTGTTCTTTTTTTCTTTGCCTGCGGTTTTGTTTCGATATGCACTTTGGTTCCACTGACCTTTTCAGCGTTGGACTTGCACCATTTCTATATCCTCCAATTGTCATTTTATGCAAGCATTTGATTCATAAAGTTATGAAAGCCTTTTCAATTAAATATTACAAGAAATTCAATTGAATTGATAAGTCAACTAAATTTGATAGGTTGGGAATCATAATGGTTATATTCAAAGATTCGTTACTAAAACACAAGAGAACTAGTTGATTCAATAATTTGAGTTGCACGTCTCCTCAAACCAAAGCCAATTCAGAAATTTGGAATTTGCACATGCTTTCAAATACCAGTATCATGTGCTTTAAGACACCGATTAATACTGAAAGACATGAGGACTTGAACACTTGACCTTAAGGACAAACCAACTCTAATGCAAATGTCATGTCATAAATCAGTTGATTTTATAACTTGAAATGTTGGGAGGGGTCTACGAAGGGGCGGAACCAGAATTGATGGACATGTGTGTCGGTAGATAAAAATAAACTATAAAAAATATTTAACAAGTTAAATAAAATCTTAATTGATAAAGTTTACAATCAAATTGCTTTTTATAGAGAAACACGTCGGCTTTCATATTATGAAAGGGTTGTATAATATATTTGTAGCTTATGTTGTGAATCAAACTTTTTATCGATAGATACAACTAAAAAATTATTCCTAAATTGGTCACTTAATCGATTCTAAAAATCTTTCTTGATTAAATACATAGCAAAAATAGTCATTTTGTAGCTTGCAGTTGCAGTGGCGGATTCAAGAATTTTAAATAGGGATGTCCTCTTCAAAAAATTAAAATTAAAAATTAAATAAAATAATTATTAAATATGAAAATATCCAACTAGTAAAAGTTAGAATAAAAGTTCAAACATGTTTCGTATTATGAAAGAATGGTAAAATACATTCGGTGTATACGCTGCTCAACAAATCTCTCGTGACATATCACACTAGATAAGGGTAGCCCGTAATTGGGTTTAATCGTTAGGTTTTGAAAATAATTGGGGATAAGAATAGTCTTTTACTATTATATTTTGATCTAAAACATAACTACAAATGAGTTGTAGTCTAATTGAAACTATATTTACTAATAGTAGCAGTGCTCCAAGTTCAAATCATATAGACAATATCACTTAAATAGTATTTGTACCCATATGCAGACTACTATAAGAGGTTGAATAATCATTTTCTATATTTTAAGGGTGTCCCACTATCACTAATTTTCATTTTTTTACCCATACACAAACTATTATTGAAGGTTGGATAATCGTTTTTCCAAATTTCCGGGACACCCCTAAATCTCCATGTATCCGCTCCTGTGCAGTTGCAACGGTAAATTTAACATTAACTTCATATGAGGAAGCTAGAATGAGAAACGAGAAGGGTAGCGACAAGTGTCAGTGTGAAAACTTGAATGTGAATGGGGTGTCACCGGCCATGCGCAAGCAATTGGAGAGTGGAGCGGAGGGTAGAGAGCTGCACGGCCGGAACTGTGTATTTTTTTTTTCTTCTCCCTCTCAACACTCGGCGAATAGACACAGAAGGAGAAGGAGAAACGCGAACTGAAGTCTAAAAGGATAAAGAGATTAGGTTTCTAGTGTTAGTGTAGGGAGAGATTTTCATTTTTGTTCAATAAAAAATGAGAAGTGAAATAAAAAGGGGTAAGGGTAACATTGCATTTTATTAAGGGTGTTATGGTTTGAGAGATTTTTTTTTAATTAAATAAAAATAAATTAATTTCTCATAAGTTGATTAAAATGAATAATATACATTTTCGCATTTTGGTAACTTTATGACAACAAATTTCTTGTAGTATATTGAAAGTATGTCAATCAGTTAACGATTATCATAGTTGTGTCATACGTCCCAAATTCAGAATTTGTATAACAAAACCTGACCATTCACAAACGGAGGTGCGTCGACTTACACACCTCCTTTTCTCATAGATCAACCCTAGTTAGGTTCATATATAAATTTTACTACTTTCTTACCCTACGACCGCACCAATATACAACAAAACAACACAAGAACGGTTTGCTTAGGCAATTAAGGTACGCAGTAGACGATAAATAAAAGATAATACGAGGCTTTTTTTCTTTTTCGTTCTTTCTTCCTTTCTTTTCTTTCGGCGGCCTTGAATTGAAAACCACAAGCTAGGAGACAATGGTCAAGGAAAGGAAGCAAAGAAAGAAGTGTAGCTTCATCATTTAGGGCAAACATATATATGTATGTGTATGGAGGCCGAGTCAGAGTGACTGCATCTGCATGTATGGATCGATGCTTTTTTGACTGGATTGAACCGAACGTATATAATGGACCAGTAATCAGTTACCATTGTCCCACTCACTCTCTTTGGAAACTTTGACCAGCTAAGCCTGCAATGCAATCCCAATCCCCACCCCACCATTTTCTATGTGCCCCATGCATGTCGTCGTCATCTTCGATAAAGACGTTAGCGTCATTACTCTATAATTAAGGTGTCTATCTCGAACCCAATATTTTCGAGTAATGATTACGGTGATCAACTTTGCTAACCCCTGCAATTGATTTTTAACACGGTAAAAGAGTCTTTTGTGATTGAAAAGTCTTTCTGTTTCGAATTCCAAAAATCCCATATGTTCTGTTGAGCACATGGTGTCCGGACTTATGTAAACTTAAAGCCTATATATGTTGGTTTTCGTTTGAGTGGGTGTGGTAGCATTAGCGGATCCAGGAATTCTACATAGAGGTGTCCTCTCCCAAAAATTAAATTTAATTAAATATAATAATTATTAAATATGAAAATATCTTACTAATAAAAGTTGCATGAAAAGTTCATACGTGTTTCGTAAAATGATAAAACACACATGGTGTCTATACTGCTCAACAAATATCTCTCGACATATCCTATTAGACAAAGATATCCGGTAATTGGGTTCAATCGTTACGATTTGAGAATAATTCGGGATAAGAATAACAATTTACTATTATATTTGGACCTAAAACACAATAACAAGTGAGTTGTAGGGTAATTGAAAATAGGTTTACTAATAATGGCAGTGTCCCAAGTTTAAATAATAGACTACTACTTAAATATTATTTGTACCAATACGTAAACTATTACGAGAGGTTGGATAATCATTTCCCCAAAATTTAAGTGTGTCCCACTACCACTTAAACATTTTTTTTTTGCTTATTGTTAACTACTATCGGAGGTTGAATAATCGTGTTTACAAATTTTAAACATGCATGTATCCGCCACTGTGTGTTAGTAAACGGTGTATATGGTGCATAATTGAACCTCTTCCTACGACTCGAGTTATTGTGAGAAACCGGTTCTTGACAATCCCTATATATAAGCTGTAAGTCAGTGTAGGGTGATAATCTGTGGTAGACAGGGTGACAATCCCTATATATATCTCAGTTTTTTGTTGTTGTGTCAGAAAGTATAAATAATAATGTAAATCAATTCTATCTATCCGGCTTTCTCTCAAGGAAGTTCCTAATGAGTGTCGATATCAGCCCTCCTCCTAATATTTGTCAAATAACAAATTTTGTGATATTCGGAAAATAACAGGTAATGAATGTTACATCCTTTTTTTCTAGCCAAACTTATTATTTGAGAACAAATAACACACTCAAATACCACAT